TTCGATCAATAACACTTTCCAATTTTGTACTTCGGTTAAACGATTCGTTTCTACGGACCCTGCACTTCCGGCACCCACGATGATAAAATCGAATTCAGTATTCGTATCTGCGATTTCTCCCAAACGATCCGATGGATAATTGTTCACATTGTTGAGACTGCACTGTGCTGCTAGAATGGTTTGCACCAGTTGCAGGAAAACCGATGTGGAAGCACTATTCGTTGCAGCGGCACAAGTAGCTGTCAAACACGCCTCCATGTCCGACCGTGTCGTGTACGTGATGATTCTGTCCTTCTGATTATATAAAATTTGAGTTTAATACTTATTGTTTGATTTATTTGCCAGTTTTTAAGAATCTAGGCTAGGCTATTAGTTAACTTTTTTTTAAGTAAGAGAATATAAGGTATTAATAAGATTTAAGTAAGAAAATATAAGTTTTTAGGAGAAAGAAAATAGTAGCTGCGTTTATACACATTAAATTAATTATTTCATAACACGGGAATTTGTATTACGACGATTACTCATCGTGTATTTGAAAGATTTATTTTATATCCTCGGTTTTATCTTCTTTTTTTTGACAAATCAATCTCTCGATGTATATTGGTAAGAGTGTCACAAATTCTTAAAGTGAAATCTCGAAGTGTAAACTTTTAGTTTATCAAGTCTCACGACAGATCAAATGTTCAATGTGTTTTATCAAAAGCGCACGAACGACTGTAGTAATTTGTAGAGTGACAGTTTCTATTATCCAGTTTTGAACGGAGCTATAGAACGTGTATAATTTCTTCAAGAGATAGCCCCCGCCCATTAGACACAGTAGAGGGGATATGTATGATTACGTACGTTTATATATGGATATGTAGTGTTTTGCCTTAGTACGTTTATGCGCAGAATGCAGTCAATCTATCTTGTTAACAGCTCCAGCTGCTGAAAGTTCACACTGATATATCTAAAGCTTCAAACTAGGGTCTACTTTGTAACATTCTCTTAGTACAGTCAGTCACAGGACGGTTGCAACAGTTTTTTTTTACATGTTTCGGAACACAAAATATACAAAGCAGACATTCCCAGTAGATAGTCAAATATCTGTGAAAATTATATATGCATGTATCATTTTTATATATACATCTAATACCTTTAATTTTAACAGCTGCCTGACTATTTACGGTACATGTAGATGAGTTATAGGTTCGCTTTATCGTATTTTTTGTGTGTTCATAAGTAAATAAAAAAATTGTTGTAACTTGTGATTGATTGTCTATATAACTTGTCATAAGGTTGATTATGTAGAGTAACAAAATTGACAGTGAAAAATTTGACCGAAAACCGAATATTTATTCGGTTTAATGAATCTCTCTGATAAGCGGAACGTGACATTGATTGCATGAATCACCATATATATTATGTAAGAAAAATTCACATTATTTTGCCGATCATTCATATCTTTCATGAACTTTTATAAATTTGTACAAGGCAAATTGCATATACTCGTATGTTGCCAAAAATGCTACTTTTTTATCTACGATTGTATGCCATCATTTATCGAAAATTTAGTTATTCTACATAGTTTTTATAATCGAGGATAATCTTATTATTACGTTATAATTTGAGAAATTTATAACGTTTATACATTACCTTTGCGACGTTTCTACGCTCGTCCCTATTTGCCTTGGTCGCGGCGGGAACGTCTTTTCCGGTACGGTGAGAGAAGACCGGTCGGTACGAGCGGTCAGCTCGTCGAAAGGTCGGTCGTGGCCCTTAAATGTCGGATTGCCAAGTTCGGATTAATTGTCGGATTGCCATGTTCGTTTGCAATGAATGTGAGAGAGTTTTGGTTAACTAATAAACAAAAGATTTATTCTCGGTTACATAATGCAGACTCGTGTGCGAGCGGATGTTGGCTCGGTGTTTTAATCGGTTTTTTTTTGGTACGACGCTAGATGCGTCCGAACGTGTTGTTGTTATCGGCGGTCGCGTATATGTTTTGCCAGCTGAGCAGACTTTCGAGTTTCTGGGTGAGACGGTTGCGCGGGACGACGGACGCGGTTGGGTATACGCGGCGATGTATGTGTCGCAGGGAGATGGTGGGGGTGGAGATTTGATCAAATCCCTAAGGTAGAAAATGGAGATTTGATCAAATCACGGGTGGGGTGATTATGGATTTGATTGGGTCTCCAATTTTGTCGTTTCCCTGCGACATACGAGGTGTGTTCAGAAAATAATGGGAATTTTCGTGTTTTGAAAAAAGTATTTATTTATTTGTCTACATTAATGTTGTCGCCTTCAAAAAAGTCCCCATTAGATATTATGCACTTGTGCCAGCGCGTTTTCCAATCCTCGAAACACTTCTCAAACTCGATCTTTGGGATAGCCTTTAGCACTTTCAGCGATGCGCTTTTAATGTCATCTATGCTTGTAAAACGACGGCCCTTTAACCCTCTTCCTCCCACATGACACAAATTTTTTTTAAACTTTCAACCTTATATCTTTTAACGAAAAAGTCATATGAAAATTTATCAAACGTCATTTCTTATAGATTTTGACCTCCTCTTTCGAATGCCGTTGAGAAATTTTACCCAAATCGTAAGCCGGAAAAGTTATAGGCCGTTTTTCCGAAAAATTCAAGAAATTTTTCACGGTTTTTTTTAAATGTTTATTTTGAGTTGGAAAAAATGTGCGCACGCCATCGCAATCACTATAAACGGTGTTATAGAAGTCTGCTCTTTCAAACCCCGTTGGATTTATTTCGAAATTTAAAATGGCGGACACAAAATGGTGTCCGAAAGGGAAAATTGTTTGTTTCAACTTTGCGAATTTTTTTCTCAAAAACTATTAAGTTTGGTGAAAAATTCCTAAGAACAAAAGTGTCTTAAAATCGGTGAAAAAATACCCTCAAATTTTTTCAGAACGGTTTTACAACATTTTTGAAAACTTTTATTTTTTGCATCTTTAGAAATATATTTTACAGAATTATTTGATAAAATAATGTATATTGTATGTGTAGACTTCACAAAATAAAATTTTTCAATCTANATCTTCAGAAATATATTTTACAGAATTATTTGATAAAATAATGTATATTGTATGTGTAGACTTCACAAAATAAAATTTTTCAATCTAACAATTTGTCATTCATATGACAAGAACAGATAAAGAAAATGAAACTTTAGTCTTATGATAAGCATGTAATGCAGCTATACTTCCTTCTATAGTTCGTACCTGTCCAATCCTCTTTGATTAAATCCGCGCCTTTCTCTCCAATCATCATTGCAGGCCCCACCGTGGTTTCGCTATTGATGTTCGGCATGATGGATGCATCGATCACCCTGAGCCTTTGCACTCCGTGTATTCGCAATGTAGCGTCCACTACGGCCGTAGGGTCATTCCGCGGACCCATTTTGACTGTACCACATGCATGGAAATAGTAGAAGGACAAATGCAAGTTCCATCTGCAATATTCGTCATAGTCAGATTTTGTGCGTCCACAATCAGGAATGTACAAATGATGTAGCCGTACTCCTTCTCGTACGAATGCCTTGGTTTTCAATATTTTTTAAATGAAATCTACGGACTTTAACATCATCTCGACATCCTCTTGCTCAGAGAAACTCTTCGCATAGATCTTGACAGGAACTGCTGGATCTTTGTTGCGCAGCCGCAATTCACCCGTACTTTTCGGACTTAGCAAACTCGGCATAGGCATTATTACATCGGCCTCTTTAACTATTTTCATTACTTCATGCTTTATATCGTCATTCACGTTGAATATTTTCGATACTTTGTCCAATTAATCCACATCCCCTCGTTTATAATGAGCATGAAAGAATTGCATGTCGGGATATTTGAAATTCGAGTCGTTTACACGGGCATCACCTATGAAATCAAAACCACCGGTGGTTCCTGTTCCGTAGGTGTGAAGAAGGTCACTCCGCACACTATTTTCGTTGGTTGTAATGCACTTTTATAATGAATCTGAAGACTCGGCTTCTTACAATGGATATGAAGACTCGGCTTCTTACAACGGATATGAAGACTCGGCTTCTTACAACGGATATAAAGACTCGGCTTCTTACAATGGATATGAAGACTCGGCTTCTTACAATGAATATTAAGACTCGGCTTCTCACAACGGATATGAAGACTCGGCTTCTTACAACGGATATGAAGACTCGGCTTCTTACAATGAATATGAAAACTGGGTTTCTTATTGTATTCTGTTATTAGTCACGCGACGCGTACGACGAAGCTAACGAGCGAGCAATGCTGTCGCCGTGCGCGTCGGTTCCTTTTATAGGATATCAAGAAAAGAATGCTAGTGACAAATGCGAGTGACCTATGAGAATGCTCCGCCGCATTACGCGTGGAGATGGGTCGAACGCTAATCGTATCCGTCGCGTGGATATACAAGGTGGGCCATTTTAATCGATTCAGTCAAATATTTCGAAAACCAAGCCCGGGAGAGAAAAATTTTTCAGACAAAAGTTGTTTCGTTTCGAGGGGACCATAAGACGGTACCATTGGTTTGGCCTTGAAGAATTATTTAAAAGTCACATGCAGGTCACCTTAATTTTTTTAAATGGCATCTTTTATTTTTTATTACATATTCTTGTAGCTGACCTCGAGAGCTTTCCAAAACACTATAATGAAATGTTTCTTCATTGAGTACTTTTCGAGTTATAAAGCTCCAAAGTTGCAATAGGAATTAATAGGAAT